TTACAGAACAAGGACTATATATATATGTATATATCTACATATATATATATATATGTATATATCTACATATATATATATATATATATATATATACACACACACACACACATACACACACACATTTTTTTTGTTTTTGAGATGGAGTTTCGCTCTTCTTGCCCACATTGGAGTACAATGGCGTGTGATCTCGGCTCACTGCAACCTCCGTCTCCCAGGTTCAAGCAATTTTCCTGCCTTAGCCTCCGAGTGGCTGAGATTACAGGAACCCACCACCATGCCTGGCTACTTTCTGTATTTTTAGGAGAGAAGGGGTTTCACCATTTTGGCTCGGCTGGTCTCAAATTCCTGACCTCAGGTGATCCACCTGGCTTGGCCTTCCAAAGTGTTGGGATTACAGGCGTGAGCCACCACGCCTGGCCACAGAGGCAATGTAGATGAAATAAACTGGAGTGAGAAGACCAGCCTTAAGGTCCTAGTCGTTCCTCTTGCCAAGCGCACGTTCTAGGCAATGTTTGACCTTTCTTGTCCTAAAATGGGGTTATTTTCATCTGGATGTTCTGTTTTAAGGTTATTCTGAGAGCTGATTGACATATGCATGTGCAGATGTTTTATAAACTGCATTCTCTATGTACTGAAAGGAGTAAGTAGGATGGATTCCAAAGCTCCACAAAGTAGGAATTATTATCCTGTCAACAGCTCAGGAGGCATCTTTGGAGAGGTGGGGTCTTGCTCAAGGTCCACAGCGAGGGTGGGTTAGCGTCCAGTTTTGAGTTCAAAGCTCACAAACTTTCCACTGTGCCTGACCCCTTGCCATCTGCAGTCTACTATTCAGCACTCATGCCTTATCCTGGGAGTCAGCTTGCCAATTTCCCCCATATCTTGTTGCCGGCCTAGGACAGATTTGCTCATTTAGGATGCCATTGACCTTATCTAATAAAAAGAATCAGGATCCAAGGAGTCTGTTTAATTCATTATTAAAGATCATTTCCTGTTATTATCTTCCCTATAGCAAAATTAGCTGTTAACTCTCCTGTTAGCATAACCCAGCCAGCATTACTAGGAAATTAGGAAAAAAATCAGTTTAATGATATGTGCGCTGAGCCCAGGGAATTCCCCATCTTTGGCGCATATTAACATTATGCCTTAGAAGTCGAGGAAATGTTCTGTTAAGTGGAAAAAGAGTTGCAGAAATTTTACTTTTAAAAGTCAAGTAAAAAGTTTCTTTTTTTTTTTTCCCAAGTCAAATTAATTTTTGTCTCAGGGCAAGAAAAAATAAATTAAAAATCACACACTGCCGCTTCCTCTCAGGCCCCGTTTCCTCCTGGATTTCTGTCCCTCTTGACTGGGGTTTTGGGTTTCTCTGGCCCAGTTTGGGTCTTGGAAGACACCAGGCTTCAAGGGTTTCTGCTCCTGGGAACCTCTGGCCATGGCGGAGTGGGGCAGTCTGCCCCCCTTCCACATGCCTTCCTTTTGGGTCCTTCTCTTACTCCTGGGCAGTTGTTGGGGTTGAGGAGGGAGCAAGGACTGAGACCCGATGATGCAGGGAGGTCCTGTGCTGTATGATGTGGAGTGTGGTTGTCCCCTGGATAAGGGCTTGCTAGAACACAAGCCCTTATCTGAGCACAGGCTGCTAATCTGGTGCTCCTTAATTTCATGCTTTCAGATTCTATGCTCATCTCCAGGCTCAGACCTTCACTGATGCATGCACCCTCTCCACCTCCCAACTAGAAGTCAACCACAGCATTTAAACACAGTGACATTGGCAGGTATATCTTCAAAACAAAGACTCAGAGTCATGCCAATGGATGTGTGAGCCCATTTGTATCTGGCATAAGCTTTCCGTTCTCGAGTGAGTTACTTAATCTCGGAGCTCTGTATCCTTAACTGGGATACAAAGATGGTGCTAAGGGGTTGCTGGTCTCAAACTCCTGACCTCAGGTGATCACCCTTTCCTCCACGGGACATTAACACATGGGCTGACCAGGGCTTGTTGGGGGACTTTAGCAGCCTCCACCAGACTCCCACAAAGGGCAGAAATCATGCTGGTGTGACCATAAGTGAGGTGCCCAGTGGTGAGTGGGTACCCAGGAAGTGAGGCGCTCTGGACAAAAGGTGCAGGTAGTGAGCAGGTGTTTCATGGTTGGCAACACAGTGCTTTGGAGGCCTGTGCTCACGCGTCTGAAACCATAGGGGTACCTGGATGTATGTGGGGGGAGATGCAGCAGCAGCCTGGCGTAGTCAGTGAGTCATTGGGCTTGGAGTCCACAGACATGTGGTAGAGCCCTAGCTCCATGTGGCCTCGAGAAAAATCACAAAAGTGCTTTGGGGCTTCATAGTTTCAGCTGGAAGGGAGACATCTGCCAACCTTTGCAGGTTGTTGCTTTAGAAACTGCATTCTCTACATAATGAAGGGTGCATACATGTGGTGAAGATGGCAGGTGATAACATTTCTGGAGGCTTCACCAGCACAGAACTGTGAGATCTCAGAACAGGCAGAGGGGACAGTGCTTGGCCAGGAACACAGGGAAGGTGAGACGCTTGTGGAGTCCTTTCTACGTACCTGAAACCCTGTTAGGCTCGTGGGTTCTTGTAACTCAATTTCCAAGAAAATTAGAGTTAGTTGGAATATTCACAGAATATCAGCACAGTCAGGGACCTTGGGAAGCTCAGCCAGGTGACCAACTCTTCATAGTTTGTCCAAAATTTTACTGATTTTATTAATATTAATAATTAATAATAATGGCACTGTAAGTAACATGCCCTGGGAAACTTCCCATTTCTTGGCAAAGTGGTCACTTTGGTGGTCACCCTACAAATCTTGTTTTAAAGACTACAGTCAGGGCCAGAGACTATCCAGCCCAAAGTCATATGGTTAAGGACCCACTGAGCTGTTTTTAATGTGAACCATGCTTTCTGCGCAAGGAGAGAATCCAGCTCACCTTCCGCCAGCCCAAGCAGGACCCACAAGCCACATACATGCATCCAAAGAGATAAAGTTTCCTTGGGCTTCTTTCTTTTTTTTTTGAGATGGAGTCTCACTCTGTCACCCAGGCTGGAGTGCAGTGGCAGTCTTTGCTCACTGCAACCTCCGCCTCCCGCGTTCAATCAATTCACCTGCCTCAGCCTCCTGAGTAGCTGGGACTACAGGCGTGCGCCACCATGTCCAACTAATTTTTTTTTTTTTTTTTTTTTTGTATTTTTAGTAGAGACGGAGTTTCACTATGTTGGCCAGGATGGTCTTGATATCTTGACCTAGTGATCTGCCCGTCTTGGCCTCCCAAAGTGCTGGGATTACAGGCGTGAGCCACTGTGCCCGGCCCCCTTGGGCTTATTTCACCTGTTGGTATCTGACTTACAATTGTTCTCTGTTAACTCCATTATCTTTAATTTGCAAGAATGCGGCCAACAGAAAACCTCTGGACACTTTCTCTTTAATGAAACACAATTTGATTACAAATCATCAGAGTCCCCTGGCAGACAGTCTTTTTCTGGAGGATTTTAGCTTGCCATGGTCACACCAGCATGATTTCTGCCCTTTGTGGGAGTCCAGTGGAGGCTGCTGAAATCCCCCACCAGGGGTGGTAGCCACCAGCACCCCCGTTAGCCCATGTGCTAATGACAGCTGCTGAAAACACCCTCCCTCATGGCCTTGTGGATGAGAGGGGTTCTTTGCGGGCTTGGACACAGTGTACCAGAAATGCCTTCCAGCTTCACCATACCATTTGATTCAACGTGCTAGTTTATTTTTTAATTTTTTTGGGGGTGCACACTTTTAGCTTCTAGTTCAATTGCTTTAATAATTAATGAGCTATTTATTTACATGATTTATTCTTAAGTTTTTTTACTTTGTATCTTTTAAGAGATTTGTCCGTTTCCACATGTGCTATCAAATGTGCAGGCATAAAGTTGTTCATAATACGCTTTTATTGTCCTTCTAATTTTTTGTATGTTGCATGATGTTTCTCTTTGAATCTTAATGTTGGTAATTTGTATCTCCTTTATTTATTAATCAGTCTAATCAAGAAGTTTGTTGATTCTTTTTTCTTTTTTTAAAATTACACTTTAAGTTCTGGGGTACATGTGCAGATCGTGCAGGATTGTTACATAAGTATACACATGCCATGGTGGTTTGCCGCATCCATCCCCCCGTCACCTACATCATTAGGTATTTTTTCTAAAGTTATCCCTCCCCAATCCCCCCACCCACTGCTATCTCTCCCCTGTTGGCGATCCCCCAACAGGCCCCAGCGTGTGTTGTTCGTCTCCCTGTGTCTATGTGTTCTCATTGTTCAACACCCACTTATGACTCAGAACATGTGGTGTTTGGTGTTCTGTTCTTGTGTCAGTTTGCTGAGAATGATGGTTTCCAGCTTCATTCATGTCCCTGCAAAGGGCATGAACTCATCCTTTTTTATGGCTGCTTAGTATTCCATGGTGTATATATGCCACATTTTCTTTATCCAGTCTATCAAAGTTTATTTTTTTTTGTATCTGTCAACAGGCATTATCATGGCAAATGTCCAGCAGACCGGATATGGGGTGATCAGCTGTTTGAAGGTAAAAGGTAAGAGCCATGAAGTCGTGTTACAAGAACATCTGTGTTTATTGGGACATTGAAGAGCCTCAGCTCATGGATATGTAAGGTGAGTTGGACAGCATCAGCCTTATAGGGCTGAAAGGCAACCCTCTGGGGCAGTATCCTTAATGCGGCAATTTAATAGACACGATGCGACCAGGTCACACTGTTCCTGGGACAGGGTGGCAGTGACTTACTGAGCATCATTTGGAATCTTTTAATCTTGTCATGTGTGCCACCAAACTTGTATCACTTAACACTATGGCTGTTCCAAACACTACTGAGTTGTGCACCATAGTCCTCAAATCCTGATTTTCACCTGCCAGCTCATGCTCTCAGATCCCATGCTCATCTCCAGGCTCAGACCTTCACTGATGCATGTGCCCCCTCCACTCCCAACTAGAAGTCAACCACGGCATTTAAACACAGTGACATTGGCAGGTATCTTCAAGACAAAGACTCTGAGTCACACCAATGTTTGCATGAGCCCATTTGTATCTGGCATTAGCTTTCCATTCTTGAGTGAGTTACTTAATCTCTGAGCTTTGTATCCTTAACTGGGAAATGGGGTTAACATGTGAATCATGATGATGAATGAATAGGATGGCATCGGGGATGATAAATTTGTCAACAGCAGTGGGTATGATACGGTAGGGTGAGGCAGGGTTAAGTATGGGTCTGCCCTTCACCAGTTGCAGGTCTTAGGGAGTCTATTTGGGCTCTATGGGCCTCAGTTTCTTTAACTTTAGAATGAGGGTAAGAGTTGTACCATCTTTATAGTATCGTGTGTAGTAAGGATGGAAAGCCATGTACGTATTTAATATAAGCATTGAGTTCAAAGTCCAATACACAGTAAAGGCAAGTCCAGCATGGATAGCATGCTTTGGACTGGACAGCCTGGCGACCCACACTCTGCAGATGGCAACTTTTATTATTCTGTCCATACTGTGGCCAAGCAGTGAACTCCTAGGTGTTCAGTTGAAGTAACAGAGACCAGGAGAGGTAGAATGAATAGCGCAGGGTTTTGCACACAGTGAAAGGTAAGACCAAAGAGCAACCCAGTTGCAGCTTCTGGTTCTTTTTTTTTTTCTTTGAGACAAGGTCTCTCTGTCACCCAGGCTGGAGTGGAGTGGCATGATCATGGCTTACTGCAGCCTCAACCTCCTCCTCAGGCTCGGGCCATCCTCTCACCTCAGCCTCCAGAGCAGCTGTGACTACCGGAGGGGCCACCATGCCCAGCTAATTTTTGTATTTTTAGTAGAGATGGGGTTTTACCATGTTGCCCAGGCTGGTCTCAAACTCCTGGCCTCAAGTGAGCTTCCTGTCTTGGCCTACCAAAGTGTTGGGATTACAGGCGTGATCTGGTTCTTTCTGATTGAGGGGTCTGTCTGGGCTCAGGAGGAGGGTCTTGTCTGCATAACAAGATGGATGAAACATTCTCAGTTCCTTCCTGTCACCAGCAAGAAGAAGCAGAGTAGCATAAGCACACAGGGTGCTGGTCAAAAGGACAGGTTCTAGTCCTCACCGCACCATGAACTGGCTGTGTGACCTTGGCCAAGTCATTTCTCTTCTCTGGTCCACTCAATGTCTCCATTTGACATGCTGGAGAACTGAATTTATCTATGTCCAGGTTCTTTCCCTTTCCCTTCATTCCATGAATTTCTAAGTACCATCTCTTTATTTCTTACTTGTGCACAATCTCACCTCTGTCTTCCAGCTAGAACGCATGTGCCTGAGGCCAAGCATCTTCCCTGAATGCTCCCTAGTAAGTGCCTCACACATGTGGGATCAGAGCCTGTGGTTGTAGGAAAATCAGCATTACCTGCAGGTGGGTGTGAGGGGCACATGGTTTCACTCCATCCTCCAACTTCTTAGAGGAGAAAATATTTTAATGGTTTGAAACAACCCAGATCTACACAAAAGGGCATGAAAACAGCTACTTAAATTATACTTGCACTTGACAATGCAAAGATCAGAAAACTCCCAACAAAATAGATGACAGGAAGAAACAAAAGGCTGAGCACTTTAATTTAACTCAAGATGACGCCTCCATCATCCTGTGGTCTGTAGTCCTGCTAGGGTCCCTGTTCCCTTTTGCACATGCGTGGTGTGTGTTCACATGAACTCTTCTACAACTTTGCATCACAGCATGCATCTTCTCCCTCATTGGTTCCACACATTCAGCCATAGCTGTTCATGACTGCTCTCCTTCTGCAATTGTTTGAAAACAGCATCAGAGAAAAGCTCCTTTATCTTGCTGCGATTGGTTCTTTTTTTTTTTTTTTTTTTTTTTGGGGTGGTGTGTCTTGTTCTGTCACCCAGGCTGCAGTGTAGTGATGTGATCTCGGCTCACTGCAACCTCTGCCTCCTGGGTTCAAGCAATTCTCCTGTCTCAGCCTCCCGAGTAGCTGGAATTACAGGCATGTGCTACCACGTCTGGCTAATTTTTTGTATTTTTAGTAGACAGGGTTTTATCATTTGGCTAGGCTGGTCTCGAACTTGTGACCTCAAGTGATCTGCCCACCTCGGCCTCCCAAAGTGCTGGGATTATAGGTGTGAGCCATCGTACCTGGCCATTGCTGCGACTGGTTCTAAGAGTCTTTCTGCTCTTCTTTCTCTCTCCCTGCTATGCTAACTCTCACAGGACTCAGATTTCTTAGGAAAGTTGCACGAGGATCATCTACTTTGCAGGGTTAGATATGAGCCTTGCCTTGAAAGGCTGAGCATCACAAACAGTAACACACAGTCTGTTTTCTCTCCTGAAGTCCCATACCTTATACTAGATATCTAAGAGATGCTGAGCTTTGGGGAAAAGAAGGGAGGAGATGTTGGGGAGGAGATGTTTCTTGTTATGAGAAAGCCCATTTCCAGAGAATCAAAAGACTTGAATTCCATTCTGCTGTCGGTGGCCATGGGGAAGTCACTTTTTCATGTGGGACTCAGTTTTCGCATATGAAAAATTAAGTCATTATTTAAACCACAAAGTTCATTTTAAACTCTAAAATAGACCATCCCTCTATTTTTCTAAGACTCTACTTGGGATAAGTTTCCATCAAGGTTCTTTACAATGTACCCCATTTATTTATTTGAGACAGGATTTTGCTGTTGCCCTTGTTGCCCAGACTGGAGTGCAGTGGCACCATCTTAGCTCACTGCAGCCTTGAACTCCTGGGCTCAAGTGACCCTCTCACCTCAGCCTCCTGAATAGCTGGGACTACGGGCATGTACCACCATGCCCCGCCTTTTTTTTTTTTTTTCTATAGAGATGGAGTCTCCCTCTGTTACCCAGGCTGGTCTTGAACTCCTGGCCTCAACTGATCCTCCTGCCTTGGCGTCCCAAAGTGCTGGGATTATAGGCATGAGCCAATAATCAAAATGGAGTGCCTGGTCATGCATCCCATTTAATCCTCAAAACAGCCCTTTGAGGATGGTGTAATTAGCCTCATTTTACAAGTGGGGCAACCAAAGTTCAGAGAAGTTAATAGACCTACCCAGTGAAAAAAGTTATGAAGCCAGAGACCAAATCCAGAATTTTCTAACTCTGGCACCCATGTTTCTAACTCTAAAGATTTTTCTAACTCTACCTCTCAAATATCATGAGACTTTGGTGTTACTCTCAGGAAAACTGCTGAGAAAATTCTGCTTGATTTCCCTGCCCCCATTTGCACAATGTGTTCCCTGTCATGGATAACTTTCCTTTCAAAAAACTTCCAAAGGACAAGTGATGCATTATGTCTTTTATTTTTGGCAACTTCACACAATAACCTTAACAGCCTCTTGGCTTCCATCTCCCAGGGATGGCATTTCAAGTATGCCTGGTCATGGAGTGCCTGTGGTTTAAAATTTTAATGGAAGACCCTTACCCCCATCTGTCTTTATCCACTGTTGCCCTGACCCTGGCTCCCTAGTGGTCACTGAGCTTTGCAGGCCCCCCTTCCTCCAGCCCATCTCCTCCTGCCATTGAGAGGGGGCTGCTTCCCTTTCCCAGCGGCAAGCCCCTGATTCTTTTAGCACAGCCAACAGGCTCCATTGGGGCTTTCAAGCTTGCTGGCAATTTGGATGTCAGTAGCTGGGAAAATCAAGCTTAATATTTGATGACATTACAAAGTCAGACTGTTCTATTTTCATCCCAGATAGAGTGAAAAAGCAGAGTTCTTACCAGGAGACTCCCAAAAAAGTGGGAGACAGTTGGTCTGGGAGCTACAGCAGGTTGGTGGTGAGTACTGGGCAGGGGGTCAGCATGTGAATGCTCTGGTTTTGTCTTGACAGCCAACTTGTGGTTGACATTGGGCAAGCCATTCTTCCTCTGAGCTCTGTCTTCCTCCTGCACAAATAAATGATTTCTCAGGCTATAAGTACTCTGATTTAGGAAGGATGTGATCTTAAACTCAGGGCTGACTTGGGGAGGTGTTTCTTTCCTCTATGAAAACTTCAGGAATGGCTAGGGTGTTTTGAGGGGAGGGGACAGAAAATCAAGGAAGTGCCCTGGAGACCAGGTGAGGAAGACTGAAAAACGGGACTAGCTCTGTTTGCAGGACATACGGAAGCTTCAGGATGCCCAGTCACTGTGCTGGGGTTCCAGGGTGGAGCCCAAGGCTTTGGGGACCTAGAAGGCTGATGTGGGAAAAGTCAGGCTTCTGTTCCTGCGAGTCTCCGGTCTGATGCTCAGGGGAGGTGCTGGGTTCAATCGTCACCGCCAGACTCATGCCTGTCCTGTTCCTTCTGCTTCTGCAGCATCTGCACGTGTGCCCACACAGGGGTGTACAATAAGACCATACAGCCCCATGCTCTCGTCCCGCACATGTGGAGTCTGGCGTTTACCCTGTGTTGAGCACGGGACCCAGTGCTTGCACTTGCATGCCTTTCCATCTTTATCACAGTACTAGGAAGTCAGTGCTACTCTCAAACCTATTTTACAGTTACAGAAACTGAGGCCAGAGAAGCTAAATGGCTTTCCCAAGACCACACAACTGGTCAAGGGAAGACCTGTACTTAACCCTGTCTCACCCTAATCCATACCCATTTGCTTTTGACAAATTCTGAGTCCCCTCCCTTCTAGACCAAGTCAATTGGGCAGATACTGGTTCCTGAATATGGCTTTCTTTTAATGTGTCTCCAGGATCGCTTTTCTCTGACCTGGAGTCTGGACTGGCTTAGGGCACAAGGCAGGGTTTTTAGGGAGGTATGGACAGAAGCAGGAATGATATCAGGTTACCAGATGCTTGCAGGACAGTTTCTGGGTGGCTGTGAACTGACCAGGTTCTTCTGCCATTCTCACTTGCAGCTGTCAAGAATAACTGTAGATACAGTGTCTTCTGATAAGGAGGAGTTGGCTGGAACAGCCTTGGCTCTGTATCTGCCCCTCAGATGTCCTTCAGTGCCCCTCAGATGTCTTTCAGTGCTTTAGCCCAGTGACTCATAGCTCTCCCAGTGGTGGGTCACATCCAGGGAGGGCTTCTTTCTGGGGTCCCTCAGCTATAGTACAAGTGCGGCATGCCCAGATGAGACTCCATCTGCCCTGGGAAGCTCTCCTGAGCCTTGGGGAACTGGCTTGTCATGAATATTTGGCTTTTTGTGTATTTGTAATTAACAGACCTGCATCATATAACTTGTGTGTGTGAGTGTTCTGTCTCATCTGACTCAGGACAGTAGTGAAAATGCCGTCTAAGATGCAGTGAGCTGAAGTGATAACCAGTGCGCTGTGAACCTGCTTTGTGCTGCCATGCTGGGGTTCAGAGGAGGCATCCATGTCTAGAGCTACATAAGGAGACCAAATAGAAAACAGAGGCGAAAGCCCTGTTGTAGGGACAGGGCCAACGTGGCAGGAATTAGTGAGGCGGGATTTGGTGGGCATAGGAGAGCAGTGAAATCCCTAGAACTGAAAAAATCTAAATGTCCACGAAAGAAACATTCGATGGGACATCTAAATGTCCCATTGAATTCCCTAGAGAAACTTGACCTGCCATATTTTGACCCAGCCAGCCTCATTTGTTTCTTGCAATTATTACCAGATTGAAGTTTGCTGGGAGATTCCAACTGACATGGAAGTTGCTGGATTAATAGGAAGAGATCCCCGTAGTCTTAGAAGAATTCTTGGAATGGCTCAGAAATAAACAGAACTTCAAGGAGCAGAGGGATTTGATTACACAGGAGCTGGACTTCTAGATTATGACATTTATATGGTTTGGGTCTGTGTCCCCACCCAAATCACATGTCAAATTGTAATCCCCAGTGTTGGAGGTGGAAGCTGGTGGGAGGTGATAGGATCATGGGGTGAATTTTCCCTTTGGTGCTGTTCTGATGATAGTGAGTGAGTTATCATGATGTCAGGTTATTTAAAAGTATGTAGCATCTCCCCATGTTCTGTCTTCCTCCTGCTCTAGCCATGTGAAGATGTGCCTGTTTCCCCTTCACCTTCCACCATGACTATAAGTTTCCTGAGGACTCCCCAGTCATGCTTCCTGTATAGCCTGTGGAACCGTGAGCTAATTAAAACCTCTTGTCTTTATAAATTACCCAGTCTTAGGTATTTCTTAATAGCAGTGTAAGAATGGACCAATACAGACATCTTATGGAAAAAAGTTCCTCAGGTGGGAAGCTCTATTGTGTACCCTCCTTGAAAATAGATGACCTGTTTTCTCATCTTTCTCTCAGTGTACCATGATCTTCACATGCAGAAAGACAGACAGTTAAGTGGTGGTTGTCTTTGAATATTTTCCTACTGAATGGTTTCTGGCCTGGCTCAGTCCCCCTAAAATATCATCCTAAAGAAATAATGGGCTGGGTGCGGAGGCACACCTGTAATTCCAGCACTTTGGGAAGCTGAGGCAGATGGATCACTAGGTCAACAGATAGAGACCATCCTGGCCAGCGTGGTGAAACTGAATCTCTACTAAAAATACAAAAATTAGCTGGGCATGGTGGCACATGCCTGTAGTCCCAGCTACTCGGGAAGCTGAGGCAAGAGAATCGCTTGAACCCGGGAGGTGGAGGTTGCAGTGAGCCAAGATCTCGCCACTGCACTACAGCCTGGGTGACAGAGCAAGACTCTGTCTCAGAAAAAAGAAAGAAAGAAAGAAAGAAAGAATGAAATATCTTTTCCTTACAAGGCTTTCTAAAGTATGATTTAAAAGTCAGAAATCACAAAAGAAAATATTAATAAATTCAATAACATTAAAGTGGAGTTAACTAAATGCATCATAAATGAAATAAAAAAAAAACAAACATCAAATTGGAAAGATGTTTGCAGGTTTTATCACAGAGGAAGGGATGGTTTCTCTAATATATAGAGTTCCTACAAACCAATAGGAAAAGTGGACCAAGAATACAAAAAGTCCACAGAAAAGGAAGTAAAACTGCTTCTTAAGCATATGAAAATTTACTTAGTCTCATTAGTAAGAAACATAAATTTAAAAAAACAAGGAGATAGGCTGGGTGCAGTGGCTTAGACCTATAATCCTAGCACTTGAGGAGGCCAAGGCAGGCAGATCACTTGAGGTCAGGTGCTCGAGACCAGCCTGGCCAACATGGTGAAACGCTGTCTTTACTAAAAATACAAAAATTAACCAGGCATGGTGACAGGTGCCTCTAACCCCAGCTACTCTGGAGGCTGAGACAGGAGAATTGCTCGAATCCAGGGGGTGGAGGTTGCAGTAGGCCGAGATTGTACCAGACCCCCTCTCAAAACAACAAGAACAACAGAAAACACCCCAGAAACTCCCTGCAGAACATGGAAATAATCTTTTTCATTTTTTCTGGGTGGCAAAGATTAAAAAGTTAGAAAATGCCACGATAGTGAGAGGTGTGTATGAGTATGACATTGGTGGTAGTGTAAATTGTTATAACTCTCTTGGGGGGTATTTAGCAATATCTTGCCAATATCTTTGCCAATATCCTGCCAATATCTTTCCTACTCATAAGTCAAAACTGTGAAACTGTGATTGTTAAGTCCACAAATGACAATGTTTTTCCATGTATATTGAAGTTTCTTAAATAGTATTTTATAGAATAAGTTTTCCTAATACATCATAGAAGAGGTTTTCAGGAGCATAGCTTGAAAAATACTGACAGGCATAATGTAGGAAGTACTTAGAATGTATCTGGGAGCTACCAACACCACTCAGGTCTGGCTATAGTGATGTTTCCTGCCCCTCTTAGGAAGAAAAACCTTTCTCAAACCTCCACCTTCATTTTCTTCTCTTGCAAATGCTTTTTGATCAGAAGCATAAATGCCAGAGCTGCAAAAGTGATTTAAAACCCAAGGGAGCTCCCTGGGGATAGGCTGTTCTCTTTGTAGCTGGGACAAGGAGATGGCAGGCCCATCTCTTCCCAAGAAACTCCCTGGTGTGCAACGAGAGGCCAGAGACTTACCTTGAAGCATTTATTAGGAGAGATGTAACATTTGGAGACAATCTGTTCAAGAAACCCTGCACAGGACACGATTTTGTCCTGAGCTGTGGGGCTGATCTGTGCCAGTGTCCTGACTCCATACGCCTCAATGGAATTTTCTGGCCCAACCTCTCCAAAATGTGTGGAAAAATCTGTTTCTCTGGGTTCTCCTTCTTTGCTTCAAGGTGAAACAGGAGACTTCCTTCACTGCCTTTCTCTGGGAGCACGATGGGCACTAATTACCTGCTCACGGCCAAGCTGGCACCCGGCATGAGTTGTCAGGAGCCTCCAGCCCCTTCCTGAAGCATGGAGGTAAGTGAACACAAGCAGGAGAAGAACCAGTGAGCATGGTGGGGCCACGGATGGCGTCTGCCAGACCAAACTCTTGCTTATTCCTCTGCTGCCGCGAGTCCCCTGCAGGACTAGCTGGGGTCCCCACCCCCCCACCCAAGCAAACTGCTATCCAGGAATCTGATGCCCTTTTGCTCATCAAGGAGGCTCATGTCTTCTATTGAGGACAGCAGCCTTCAAACTTGGCTGATCATTAAAACCATGCTTAAAAAAAATCCCTGCCACCAATGCCTGGATCTTACCCCCATGAGTTCTGATTTAATCAAGATGCTTACAAAGTTCCCGGGTGATTCTAATGTGTCCCCATATTTTGATTATGGGATGACCACATACATTGGGATATTTTGAAGTGTTGGGGCACGACTAACCATTATTTTGGGGCAGTTTGCATAACTTGTACTGTCCTAGGCAGTTTGGGATGCGTGGCTACCCAGCTTTAACCCTGAAAGACCCTTGAGAATTGTTTCCCAAGGACATGATCATAGTTCAGTTTTTTTTTTTCCCCTCTGTGGACAAAAACATTGACACTTTTACGTCGTGGCAGATATCTATAGGGGGTATGTCATGAATCTGATTTTGAGTGCTGTTATATTTCCAATAGCCACAATTTCCACTTCAGGTACTTCCTCTTTCCTCTCTTGAGAAGTGAAGAGGGGTGCCTGCTCCAGTAATTCTCAGCCCCTGCTATTCTTCCTGTAGCCCTGGAGAACATCACACCTGGAAGACACCTTAGCAGTCACCTGGCTCCATCTTCTCTGCAATGCAACAATCATTTCTCCTGTAGCATCTTGGGCAAGGATGAGCAGAGGGCACTGGATTTAAACTCAGAAAGCCTTTCTGAGGCTCGGTTTTCTCATCAGCAAAATATGGATTACACTACCAGCCTCAAAATGTTGCAGTAGGGATTATATGAGACCCTATTCCAGCACATCTTGGGAGGAATGCACAAAGCTAGGAGGACCGCTGAGCCACAGGGAGCAGAGTACAGACTCATCCCCACTCACTGGGGAGACATGCCTCTTCCACGGGCAACCATTCGCTCCGCTAATAGCATGTCTTTAATGGATGACAATCCCTTAATCCTCTTAGAAATGAGGTAATTCCTACATTGTTTAGGAAGAATGGGATGACTATTTCACACTTATACAATAGTTTGAATAAATGGAGTTTGTTATAAATATTAATTGTCTTTCTACACAAGGTCATTCCTAAGTTGAGAGCATGCCTGCCTATTTCACAGGTGAAAAGATCAAGGTGTCATGTGGTCTAAAATCTCCCAGCAGGTACAAGGTGAAAGGGGCTTTTTTTTTTGAGACTCTGTGGGGCATTTTTTTTTTTTTTTGAGACTCTCTTGCCCAGGCTGGAGTATAGTGGTAAGATCTCAGCTCACTGCAACCTCCACTTCCCAGGTTCAAGTGATTCTCCTGCCTTTGCCTCCTGAGTAGCTGGAATTATAGGCAGCTGCCATCATGCCTGGCTAATTTTTGTATTTTTAGTAGAGATAGGGTTTCACTATGTTGGCCAGGCTGATCTTGAATTCCTGACCTCAGGTGATCCATCCGCCTTGGCCTCCCAAAGTGCTGGGATTACAGGCTTGAGCCACCATGCCTGGCCTGGGGCTTCTCTTATATGGGCACCAATCCCATTCATGAGGACTCAGCCTTTGACCTAATCAACTTCAAAAAACCCCACCCCCCACTACCATCACACTGATGACTAGTTTTCCACATATGAAGTTTGGGGGACACAAAAGCATTCAGACCGTAGTGGAAGAAGAGCATGACACTTATTGAAAATCGTGGTGTCTGGCACTTCCACTTGACTTTATTTCGTTACAACCTTTCGACAACCCTACAGGGCAGTTGTCTCTGCATGTTTGTTGAGGAAATAGGCTCAGAGACGTTGTATAACTTGCCTAAGACTACCCAGCAAGGTGGCTAGCTGGGCCAAGTCTGATCTTTCCTGACTTCAAGGCTTAACCCCAGATACCATCGGAGGGGACCATGCCTTTCAGGTCATGAGCATAATATCAAAGTCTCTGGAATTTTCAGACAATCACTGGTTTGGTTGTATCCTTTTACAGCTCCATCTTAGTAAAGAACTTTCAAGGAGATTTTGTGGCCTAAACATTTGGGTCAATGGCTTTCTAAGGTGATGCCTTCCACCTTGGCTCTACCTTTCTTCCATAAGCCTTTATTGGCCTCTAGTGGCTGCTGAATTCTGTGCTCTACACCAGGGTGACAACGATGTCTACAACACGGCCCCTGCCCTCAAAGACCTTCCAGTCTAGTAGGAGAGTCTGTCTAGCAAGCAGGAAATACACTGTAGAGTAGAAATGTGCCAATATGGTGGGTAATGATGGGCAGAACACAGGGTTTGAAGGCTCGCAGGCCCATAGGAAGGAGTATTCAACATTACAGAGCAGATCAGGGAAGACAGCCTGGAGGAGGTAGTTTTCGAATCTGGGTTTGGAACGAGGTTGAGGTGGATAAGGAGAGAAGGAGCAGAGAGAAGATATGCAAAAGTATGGAAGTGCAGAAAGAGGCTTTGGGCTTGAGAAAGGCAAGTCACATGGTCCAGGGCAATGCTGAGGCTCAAGGGCAGGTGGGAGTCAGCTCCTAGGCTGCTGGGCATATATTCTGATTATGATGGGCTCAGCCCACATGTTGATTCTCCTGCTGCAATTCACACTCAGTATGCAAAGCTGGTACAAGGTCCTACTGCCTCGTCTCTTCGAATTAGGCTAGAAAGGTGAAATGACTTCATTACTGTTGTCTTGCTAGTTGCCTCTTCTCTGAGGATCCCTCCTGCTGCATTCGTCTTGCTAGATTACCTGAAGAAGACAGCTTTTGCCCCCGCTGATGGGCCTCCTGGATAATTTTCTCTGCCATTCAGCAGTGACTCTGCCACGTTTTATTCTCCAGCAGATTCTTGCTGTCTTCTAATAATTTTCTTTTAAAAAAGTTTATACTCATTAAAAAGGCCATGTCTGGAAATATATTAATGTGTTTCTTTGGAAAAATAGGCCATCTTTAAATTATTATGCTGTTGATGTAAGCTGGATTTTATTAGCATTTCACCTGTGGTTTGGTGACAGACACAAGCTGGCTTGAAAACTGTTGAAGCGGGATTCTTTGTTGATTAATTTGTTTTTCTTTCTCATGATTCTGACACTTAGGAGATACTTAAATTGTATTTTACAACTTTGTGCAAAACCAGTCTGATTGTTAGAGAGCTGTGTGGGCAGAATTTGGATGTTTTTAATGACGCAGTGGTGGAAGCCATATTTGAAATTCACAGAATTGGGCTGGGCATGGTGGCTTATGCCTATAATCCCAGCACTTTGGGAGGCTGAGGCAGGCAGATCCCCTGAGGTCAGGAGTTCAGGACCAGCCTGGCCAACATGATGAAACCCCATCTCTACAAAAAATACACAATTTTAGCTGGGTGTGGCAGCAAACGCCTGTCATGCCAGCTACTCAGAAGGCTAAGGTGGGAGAATCACTCAGAATAAATGCCCAGCAGCTTAGGAGTGGACTCTCACCTGATTCTCCGGGAGGTGGAGTGAGCTGAGATCGTGCCACTGCACTCCAACCTGGGCAACAGAGGGAGATTCTGTCTTAAAAAAAAAAAAAAGAAAGATAATAAATTCACAGCATCAAACATACCTGGAGTTGGAAGGACATCAATGGTCCAGAGGCCCAATGCCTCAGTTGATGGCTGTTAGTGACAGACTGCTGCCATTCCTGATATACGGTAGATCAACTTCTGCTTGGATCTCTCCAGTGACAGGAAGCTCACTACCTTAACATCAGCCCTGAATTATTGCTAGTGGGGCATGTTGAATGGTGTCACACAGGAGGTATCACAGCCTCCGTGTGCTTCAGTTTGGGCTCCAGAGTTAAGATAGCACAGCCCTGGGCCATGGTATCCAGGAGGCCATTGGCTGTACCAGGGAGAACATATATTCACATGCAGAGGAAAGTGGCTTGGCCCAAAGCCACCTGACAGTGACTAGGAGGTCCCTGAAGCCTGGCTTAAGCAATAGATGTGCAAATTCTCAGGATCTGGGAGTCCAGGAACAAGAAACAGACATCCCAGTGCAGGGTTTGTCCCCAGAACAATGAAACGCACAAAGGGATGTGCAGGCAGGGCATCATGGAGGGCAATCTCCCCAGCTATCCTGGGTAAGGTCATGGCCAGTCCTCAGAATGGAAAGGCTGGGGATCAGAAATCACTGAGTTCCCTGGATGACTCCTTCAACAAATATTTGCCTGTAAGTTCTAGAGAGTAAATTATAGCAAAGTGTTCTCATAGAACGTGGCCTCGGTCAAATGTTTGTGCTGTTATCTTAAAGTCGGGAGTTTAAACTGCCCTTGGGAGGGATTACAGATGCATTCCTCAATGAAGCAGACTAGGAATTTGGTTGGGGTCCAGAGTCTTGGCTCCTGGGAAGCTCATAAGAGATAAAGAGCTGTGTTCTCATCAGGGTCCCCCAGAGCTGCCTGGGATGCTTGTTAACCAAGAGGAGACTCGGAGGGCCTGGGGTGGGGTTTGGCCTCTGCAGTTTTAACAGATTCCCCAAGAGATTCAGGTTTGACAAAGGCTGCCTTTCAGAGCACTGTCGTAACAAGGCACATTTGTCCTGGGCGTGCTACATGTCACAAAAGCACTGTGAAAGATGAAAAGTATTGCACCCATGTGACACGTGTGTGGAGGAGCTGGGGAGCTTTTCAGGCTGTTGTGGGATCACTTCATCCTGTAAATTGGTTGTGTTGCGTTCACTGGCCCTCTGTCCCCTCTCTGGTCTACAGAGAACTGTAGTGTCTGAGAATTCTCTTCTAAAGAGCTTGACTCCCTGCCAGGAGTCACTGGAAATAAGCGCATCACCTCTTTCTACCCTGGCCTGCTCTCTGCTGGGACAAATCTCTTGTCTTAGCCACTGCTTCTACTTTCTGTGAACACATGCTGGAAATAGCTGAAAACACTTAATTCCTTGCACTTAACAACCCAATCTGCCCATTTTCTATGTAGCACAGTCTCTGTCTGCTCCCAGCTACACGTCAGACAGCTGTGACCTCCATTGTGCAGAATGTGGGCATCAGACAGAGCTTTGATTAGCAAGAAATGTGTCAAGTGTCCATGAAGCCCAGAGATGGTGTGAATGAAGCTGGCTCTGCAGGTATTGCTGGTGAGATGTGCCATTCTCACTTTACCTTTCACGTGTCTTTTGAAGAACAGTGCAGAAGCCCTCAGCTGTGGTGGGAGCTGCAGGTACTGGTGTGTGGGCTGGTGCTTCCTGCTGCAGCTGTGGCCAAGGGTGATGTTGCAGGGAATCCCACTGCCGCTTTGCACCCTGCCTTCCCCTTTGCCTCCCTGTGAACCTGAGTGCAACTTTCCCAGTGAACACTTCTGGTCTCTGCTGACTTGCATCTTGGCCTCTGCATTAGCCAGTGAACTCGAGCACGTGGCTTCACTCTTCTGAGCCTCAGTGTCCCCTCTGCCAGGCCAGGCTGGCTCACCTCCCAGAGGCTTTGTAGAGGAAGTGTCTTTCTGCTCCCTCTTCCTTGTCTCAAAGCAGTTTGTGCATCTTATTTCCTGCTCATGAACACAATGCAACATTTTATTTATATCTGGGGTTCTTCACTGCACCTTGCTAAGATCCTGGCATTGTGGAAGAAACTGGTGATCCACAGGAGATCTCAAACCCACAAAGACCCAGTGAATTAACTTCCAGGTGGGGATAGGAGTTGGTCAGGGAATGGGGTGGTGTGGTCAGGCCTGTGTTCACACCTGTCTGAACTGACTTTTATACCGGAGCATCTTGTCTTATGTCAAAATTGGCTGGGCGAGGTGCACATGTCTGTAATCCCAGCACTTGGGGAGGCTGAGGTGGGAGGATCACTTGAGCCTAGGAGTTCGAGATCAGTCTGGGTAACGTGGCAAAACCCCACCTCTACCAAAAGTGTTAATACAAAAATTAGCCAGATGTGGTGGTGTGTACCTGTAGTCCCAGCTACTTGGGAAGCTGAGGTGGGAGAATGGCTTGAGCCCCCGAGGTGAAGGTTACAGTGAGCTGAAATCACACCACTGTGCTCAGCCTGGGCAACAGAGCCAGACCCTGTCTCAAAAAAAGAAACACCCACCAAAACAAAAGTAATGAATAGTTTCCTTCCCAGGTCTC